CCTCTTCCTTCCTGCACCTTGCATTGTCCAGATGGAAAATCTTGAGCTGGGATTAGAGAGAAAATACATCTTCTGGAGGGAAGGACCAGAGAGGCTGCTCAGGCTGCAGGCTGATCTTGAGATATTCCTAGGTTGGGTGTCAGCAACCCACAGCTCTGGAGCTGCATGTGGCTCTTTCATCCCCCTGCTGTGGCTCCCTGTTGGCTGAACCCACCATTGGCTGGCCCCACCCCTGGCAATCCCCTTCCAGTCACTCCTCGCCTGGCCTGAGAGAAATGAGAGAGACAGACAGACAGACAGACAGAGGAGGGGGGAGAGAAAGAGAGAGACACACAGAGAGATACCCTTTCCCATAGAAAACACCAGGAGCCACAAAACCTGGGTAGGCATGGCTGGGGGGGTGTCATGTGACTGGGTGGGAGTGAGTGATGTCAAGTTGGCCACACCCACCCAGGTTTTGTGGCTTCCAGACCGGTGTTTTCTTTTCTGTGGGAAATGGGTCCAAATGGCTCTTTGAATGTTTAAGTTGCAGACCCCTGTCCTAGGTAAAGGATGAACGATATAGACTCTGGAAACAAGTGCTAAGGTGTGTTTGTTGTATGGATATGGCCATACACAGAGCAGAACCATGTTCCTAAAGGTTTAATTTAATTTCCTTTTTTATTATTACTTTATTTCCCCTTTTAATTTTATATTTCTTAGTTTTTACCATATTTTGTTTGGTCAACAAAAGAAAAGGAAAAATTAGAAAATGAAACAAGTTTTGAATTGTTTTACACACTCCTTCCTGATCTCTTTTTCACCTTATTCTAATCCTATCTCTCATTCTATTTTCTCTATGAAGTGCTCCAAATTAATTATATGTGCATATTTGTAATCTTATATAAACGATTCCAAATATGATTAATAGAGTCTTTTTGCTTTGTTTCAGAAAAAAAGGAAAAGTTAATCATTTGTTTACCATTTCTCAGTTGAGACTTGCACTATCCCTTTCCCCAAAAAAAAACACACCAGCATTTGGAAATCTTTTCAAATTTATTTGCATAATACATACATTGCATGTAAATTTTAGGAAAAAAATGAGGAAGATGTGCATGTGTCTTTAATATTAACTTTGTAATGTATATTTATGTCTAAAGCAGTGGTTCCCAACGTGGGGCCCACACCCAACAGGGCGGCAATTTAATTTTTGATGTGGGCAATTTGATCTTTAAACCAAGATAATGGCCTTTTAGGCTTCCTCCACGTGAGTAGAGTTCACTTTTTGAGTAAAGTAAGAATTATATGTAATGGAAGTAAGAGTTATATGTCACGTGGTGGTGGTGGGGGAATCAGGATTTTAGAGATGCTTAGGTGGGCCAAAAAAGGTTGGGAACCAATGGTCTATAGCCGGGATGGTGAATCTATGGCACGCGGGTAGCACACGGAGCCATTTGTCAGGGCACGCAACAAGTTTTTAGTCCTCCAGAGCCTTCGGGGAAGCCTCCGGAAAGCTCCTGAAGGCTCCAGAGGGCTTAAACTGGCCCTACGAGCAAATTGGAAGTCCGTTCCTGAACTTCCGGTTTGCCCATAGGGCCGGTTTTTTTGCGCTCTGGAGGCTTCAGGGAAGCTGAAGAGAGCCTCTGGAGGGGTCGTGGGAGGCTGTTTTCGCCCTCCCCAGGCTACTATAAAGCCTCTGGAGCCTGGGGAGGGTGAAAAAAGCATGCAAAAAATGGGGGGTCGTGCCTGTCGTGGCACATGCGCACTGGGGGGGGTCACACATTGCATTATGGGTGCAGCACACCCACACACGACCCCCCTGCACTCCCCCCGCTTATGGCACACGAGCCAAAAAAGATTCGCCATCATTGGTCTGTAGAGTCTGTGAAACTGGAGTGGGGGGAGGGGGGAAAGTCCTGCAGGACCAGGAACTTAGCTCATTCTAAAATCACTAAGGTTTTTACCTGCAAAGCTTTTGCCACTGTTAAGCCTTCAAATCGCTCATGTGGAGTATGAGGGGAACGTCTGCCACGATAGCCATCTCCGGTTCCTCCAGCTGCCTGAAACAGGCACAAACTTATGAAAGATTTGGCATTGTCCTTCACCAGCGAAAAGCTTTTCTTTCTATCAGACGGGCTCACGCAGAGCATTTGCCGGCTCCTATCCTCACCATGGACAGACGAAGGATGTCTTTGCATTCTGATTCAGTGAGGACTCTATCAAAGACGACCCTCTGGGTACCATTGAGTTGGTGAGAATCCATGCTGATGGCGATGTCTTCAAAAGGTAGTGGTTCTGGGAAGAAATAAGGAGGACAGAAGTTTATATAGAGATGCCATCAAACATTAATATTCATCATGAGTACAAAAGAAGAAATAGGCCTCAACCTGAAACTATAATTGAGCCCAAAATTGTTATTGGTAATTGAAACATTTGTTAAGTGAATTTTGCCCTGTTTTACAACCTTTTGTGCCACAATTGTTAAATGAATCACTGCAGTTGCTAAGTTAGTAACACAATTGTTAAACGAATCTAACTCCCCCATTAACTTTGTTTGTCCGAAGGTCGCAAAAGGTGATCACATGATCCTGGGACACTAAAATCATCATAAATATGAGTCAGTTGCCAAGCAGCTGAATTTTGATCACATGACCATGGGGATGCTGCAAGAGTCATAAAGTGTGAAAAATGGTCATGTCACTTTTTTCAGTGCTCTTGTTGCTAAACGAACTGTTGTAAGTCGAGGACTACCTGTATGCTCTAGTTTGCAATCTCTGAACATACTGTATATGTGCCCTTCTTATAAGTTATAATTGGTATTTGCATAAAGGATTTTGAAAAATTCCATGCCACTAAACTATCCTCGCTTTCAGATTATTCTTTGGAAGTTGGTACCAGCTAGGCTGTCATTATCCGTCAATTTCAGAATTCAGATGCAAGATTACTGAAATGGTCTGATACAAAGCTTATAGCTGTGTTACTGACTCAACTGTTATCACAGGTACCTTGATATGTGTGGTCTTATTATTATACTGTATTATTCATTTAAAATGTTGTTTCTTCAACGCTCAATGCGATTTCCAATGGAAAATAAAAATTAATATCTGAATTAAATTAAAAACAGACATCCATTTAATAGAATTAGCAGCAGCTAATAGAATTAGCAGCAGGGCCACATAGCAATTATTGAAATTTTAAAATAGTTAGATTTTACATTTTAAAAATAACTAAAAATCATAGCTTCTACAGTCTCATTAGTGATACAATACCAAAGTCTTGGAAAAACAGAGGTAAAGGTCCTTATAGCACTCATCATTCTTGACTCATGCATCATTACAATCATAAATCAAGGACAACCTATAGCCAAATAGAGAATCCATCTGTCTGTTTGTCTGCCCTTCTCCTTATCTTTTTGTCTAGCTGCCTTTCTGCCTGTCACACACACGCAAACACACACACCACACACCAACACATAAAGAGTTGACCAATGAACCTTTTGAATAGATACAATTTAGGAATCACTGAACTTATTTAAACAGAAATATAATGCATCTTATCATAGTGGGGTAGATTGTGACCCAGTGATATCCGACTGTTTTCCAGCTTCAAAGTTATTCTCTTTGCCTACCCAAGCCAATACTTCCAAATATGGTGGATTAAAGCATTTACCATCTTAAAAAAAAAAAAAATTACAGATTTTTTTTTAAAAAGAAAAAACTGTGACAGTTTCCGTCTATACAACATTTTCATAGCGGTATACATCCTTTATGTGTGCATTTCCCCCCATCCAATATGTCATTGTCTATACATGTAATTCCAGTTTTTTATACAAATATATTCATTTCTTGAGTTACAGTCATTCATTGTATGTTGTTTCCATTTATACGTGTTTGTTACTAATTTCTAACTCCTATATCTTCTTCGTTTAATCTTTCCTTAAGCTTTACACCTTTCTTCTAACCATTTATACCAACCATTCCATACCATATAATAATCTGTTTCTCCTTTATCTTTAATCTCTTTTGTGAGTCTATCCATCTCTGCACACTCCAAAACTTTCCTTATCACATCTTCCTCTAATGGAATATTATTATTCTTCCACTTTTGTGCATACATAATTCTTGCTGCTGTTGTGATATGTAAAATTAGATATTGTGTTTTTTGTTATCATACTTCCTTGTGAATATTCCCATATTCACGGTTTCATATTTGCTGCTTAGTTATCTCTTTGAGTCATTTTCTTAATCTATTCCAATATTGTTTTGCTTTTGGGCACGTCCACCACATACGATAGAATGTTCCCTGATTTTGTCTGCATTTCCAGCAGTCTGGTGATATGTTTGGGTAGTAGGGTAGTAACGGTAGTAAGATGGGAAAGACTACACTTTATTTGATCTAGGATTCATTGGCTGACATCCAAACTGAGGACTGTCATCTGTGGAGAAGCAGCTGTGGCATCCTATTGTTGATATGCCTCTATACCCGGTAGGCACTCTGAATACATCTTTGGTGCTGAGATAGGTTCTATAGCTCAGCAATAGCCCTTTGGGTCCCTGTGGCAGCTAGTAATCTGCAATCCCAAACAATGCCAGGCTTCAGTAGGTGACCTTCAGTACTGGGAAGGAGATTTACTCCATTTCATCTTTAGAAGAAACTGTGGAGTCATCCTGCTGGAGTCTCCCTCTGCTTTCATTATGATAAGACAAAGAAACATGATAATCTTTCTTCCCATTTATCAATTCTTTTTCTGGTACTCACCACTTTGATCCCGTTGTTGCATATGTGAGGCCTTCAAACTTCGTTTCTCCTGATCTTCTCTTGGAATTAATAAACAAATATAGAAAAGGCCATAACTACAGAGCATGACTGCCTCTTCAATTAAATAGCTCAGCAATAAATCAAATCTGTTATAATTTCTATTCCGTTACATTTAAGGACTCTTCAAAAAATCTTTCCTAACGGAGCTGAATCGTTGCCTTTCATTACGGTGTCCTAGAATTGCATCCATATGTTACATATATGCTCTGAACACTTACTTGTGTTTCTGCTTCATGCTTTCAGGGATCAGTTCCTTGGGAGTCCATAAATCCTAAAGAAACACATCCAGCACTTAGCACTACAAAATTAAGTTTATTGACCCATTTTCTTTTTTCACAGGGCTGGATTATAGCAGACACTTCCTCACCACAGCAGGCACATGTGTCCTACTTTCTGGCTATTCCACACAACAGAAATATTTGTGAAAGTTCAGCAGACTGGCGGGGGAGGGGGAATCGTCTGTCCTGTTTCCTATAGTTCTACAAGCAGAGTGCTCCTTCCCACACAGTCAGTAACAGCTTTTTGGAAACACTTTCATCTATAATTAGCATGTTTACTGTGGTGGCACACTACCTTTGAAACATTTTTTTCTATTGATGCTTGACCGGCATTAAAATGCTGTCATTTTTAAAGGCCTCTATTTGACATATATTTTAAAATTTTATGCTGATTTATGTTTACTTTGGTATATGATTAGCATTCTTCTGATTTATTTAGTCTGGTATTGTTTTAGAATTTTGTTGTGTTGTAAGATAGCATATCTGGGATGTTATGCTTCTTACATATTGCCTTGATAGTCTTAGATGGCATTGGCTGAAAAAGGCTTATAATAAATGAATATATATCCTTAAAGCATAACTTCTTTCAGTTCATTTCATGCATTAGAAAAGGAGGACAGAAAGAGGATCCTATGTACTATTTTATCAAGCAGTATTTGATAAATGAGATCAAGGAATAGCTTTGTTGCAAGGAGGCCATGAAGAATCTACCTTTGAAGAAAGACAACCACTTACTGGATCCTTAAAAGTTTCATCAAGGTGCTGTACTGCGTAATAGATCAGTTTCTTTTCCATACGGGATCGTTGCACATAATGGCGGATATTCTGTAGATTGAAAGCCAATGTTACAACGTGGTAATATAAAATAATGTACAGAAATCACAAATGATTTGAGTGTTTCTTGTTCAAGGAAACACAACCATCTCTGCTGCAGGCAATCAACCCTGCCTTCAGATCAAATTAGATGTTATATTCAATATGAGCTTCACATTTTTGTCTTGTGGTCCCAGTCATGGTAGAGACAGGAACTTATGCCACCCCATGCTGCAACCACTCTTGCAGTTGTTACTTTCCCCTGAAGGAAGCTGCTAGTCAACAGCAACTTAGGACAAACAGCAGTGCTAGAACCTCTAAAGGACAAGAGAGAAAAAACTATCCACAACTTTCATCTTAGACTTCTGAAAAATGCAAGGTCCTAACACCAGGTTTTGCACCTCAGGGAATCAAAGATGTGGGCTGCAATGGATTGAAACAAGTAAGAGCTCACTTTCTTCCCAAGCAAAAGCAGCTGCTTGCCAGCTAAACAAATCTTAGTTCGTTCATGGTCATCAAATTGTATGAGCATCAGAAAAAGAAGAAAGAGACAGTAAGGGCACGCCAAAGGGATTATGGGTGATGGGCTAAGGATGAGCTGGAAACACTTTAATCTGATGCCTATCCTTCTCTTTGCTTTACCAATTCATTCCTTGGGGAATGAATGATCTTAATTTCTTGCCATTCAGTCTGAGGAACGTATTGCAGTCCCAGACCAATATTTAAGAGAACACAATATTATAACACATTAAATATTATGTATTCTGTATAACAGGACTTACACAGAAAGTAATAATGTAGAGGATGATCTTTGTAAACTACGACTGTTGTTAAAATTCAGCAACCTCATTGGAAATAATTAAACGTTATTTAGTTAACATTTGGGGTAGAATATTAGCTCCTGCTCAGAGGAGCAATTAAGATTTTTAATGAATGGTGTCATGAGTTCTATTGTTCATTTATTTCAAAGTGTAGCAGTGCATATGGAACAGATTCAACTTCTATATCTACCGCTAAATATATACCAGTGTGATTTTCATAATGGATATTGATATATCTACCCGTTTTTGCTCTTATAGGCAATTTGTCAATTTGTAAGCTAATGCTGGAAATGAAAGAAAATAAAAGAAAGGATCCTGAGGTATAGCTTTAAAAATTGCTATTGGATAGCTTCCAATCTAGAAGCATCCTTATAAATACATAACTGAATGCCATATACTGAGCCCAGTACTTTAGCCTTGAATATAATTGTTACTATGCTGACATGCATATTTAATAATTACAAAGGATGCTTTGGGGGCTCATATGAAAAGGTCCTTTGCTTGATTGATCCGGCAAGTAGATGATTGAAAGTGGATGCCTAGGTATTTAAAAGGTATGATTTGTTCAATACAGTAAGTCTATCATTAATCATCCACTTAATTGAGTGCTTGAAACACTGGAGAATATTAAAGCCTTTCTTTTAGAGTAATTGATCTTAAGGTATTCCCTATAGTAATAGGAAGATAATGCTTTAAGGCATCTACATAAACCCACTTGGATAATGAAAGAATAGCTTTATTGTTGGCACAGAGAGGAATGGATACAGAGCAATGAGTAAAAGTTGGTGGATAACATTCTAACCATATTATTGTTTAATTTATATATTAATAGATGTTTTATAGCAAAGACTACTTCTAGTACTAATACTAGATGGATTTATAGTTGAGTGACTGCATCCAGTGAGAACTTATTAGTGGCTTGCTTCAATTTATAGAAAGAAATATGGAGAGGAGTGCCACAGGGTGCAATCCTGTAGTGTTCAATATTTTTATCAGAGACTTGGGGGATGAGACACTAAGGGAGTGCAGATATGGAAAGTATGATTAATATTTCAGATGAAAAAGTGAAGATGTTAATAGAACTAGACAGGCTTAAAGAGTGGGTTGAAATGGATAGGATTGAATTTAGTAGAGAGACATATCAGATTCTGTATCTTGGTAAGAAAAATGCAAAGCACTAGAGTGGAAGAAAGTTTGATTGGCACTAGTACATGTGGAAGTGACCTGGATGTCCCTTTTGAACCCATCTTAAATATGGTGCAGATGCTAAAAGGCAAATGCTACTTTGGGTTGTATTAACAATAGCACAGAGTCCAGATGATGGGAAGCAATTGTTTCACTCTATTGGTAAGTCTCCCTTTGGAAAGGTCTATCCAGTTCTGGGTCCCACAATTCAAAAAGTAGTGACAAATCAAAGTAAATATGGAGTATGTCTATCAAAATGGTGAATAGTCCAGAAACCAAACTCTATGAGGAACTTTTAAAGGATTGGAGAACTTTTAAAGGATTGGATCTATAGAAAAATATAGATACATTTAAGGGAAGATAACAGTACAATAACAGTTTTCAAACAACTGAAGGATTATCACATAGATGAGAGTGTGGACCTATTCTCTATTGTCCAGAGGGCTGGACCAGAACGAGTGAATGAAAATTATAGGTGCCAACTAGACATCAGGAGGAATTCATGACTGCATGGACTGTCAGCAATGAAACAGGTTACAGGCGAGTTTTCCTTTCTAAAAAAAATTCTTCAAACAAAGGCGAGATAGTCTATCAGGGATCTTCTAGTGGAACTCCAAGGCCCCTTCTAACATTATGATGCTATCACTGAAACCTTATTAATTTGTCAAAACTGAGAACTGAGAAAGATTTCAGATAAGAGAATTGCTGCTGGCTACCTCTCTGGCTGGAATAGCTATTTCTTTTCCCAGATCTGCTTGGTACTCTTTCAACCTCTCCAGCATTTTTTCATCTGATGGATAGAACAGCAGGAAGGTAGCTGCACATTCAGCAGCAACAGTCCGATTTCCAACTAAAAGAAAGAAAATGATCTTCATCATCATGTTTTTTCTGTCTGCCATTCTGGCAAAGCTTGACCCCAGAGTCTTACATGAACTTCTCAGCTGTTCATTTTCTGCTTACCTCTGTCATAAGCAAATTGCAATAAATCAAAATGAGATGGGATGAAATCTTCTGTGGAAGACACCCTGCCTGGCTTGGTGGCAATATCAAGGACACACTGTTGCCTGCATTTCAAGACCTGGACATAATGAGCTGGAAAGCAGAGAGAAACACAAGGGGCTTTGGCATCTCAACTTTCAGAAACACTGAAACAAGTATTGCTAAGATTCCTACATTTTCTGTGTTTCTTATTTCACCATTTAAGTAATGCATGTTAAATTTAAAATACGTTGTTTGAATGTCACATTTTATTTCAAAATCTAATTCTTGTTAGCCTATCTACATTGTTTTGGCTTTTGTCAGTATGACAACTTGTGCAGTGCTGATTGCCTATACAAATTAAGTCTAGAATGTTATGTTATTTATTATTTTTTAAACAGACAGGTGAGCAAAGACCGGAGAAAAATTGTTTCAACTTTAATGAACTAAGGGAGGTATTAAAACTTCCATGTCATGCAAAATAGAAAAAGATAGAGAGTGTGGATCAGAGATTGGAAACTAAAAAGATCCCCAAGGAAATACACGCAGTGCTTGAATTAGTTAGCAGTTAGCTGGGTATCATTTTTCAGTGGTAGCATTTACAACTATGTTTTTCATCCAGTGAGACCAGATTTTTTTGTATGAAAGGATTTTGTGCTGGGCTCTGATATTGACTAATAACCCTCTTCTAATTTTCCCTAGGAGAGTGGAGACCTTTTTAATTATTGTTATGGGTACAAATTAGAAAATGTTCCAAATTGACTGCATCTTATTCTGAGACCTATTATTTAATTTCCTCATCTCCAAACGCCTTTTAAAATCCTGACAGCCTGGAACCATACATTCATTTGAGATGCCTCCCTTCTCATTGGCCCCTTTTAAAACTGAGATAATTTCTAATTTATAAGATTGACCAGGAGTGCAACATTTTTGGAGGATGTAGGATACTAGTAATGAGATACTCCTGCAGTTTTACAAATTAAATCAAGCAAGTAATCCTTACTGACATTTCCTAATTTTTTGGGGTGGGAGAGACTGGCACTTCAAATATTGAGAACATGGTCATAGACATCCCCATAAATTTGAACCCCGGTTCCCAATTTTTCAATGTTTTTTTTAAAGTAACCAATAACTTAATTTTCTCCCATATCTGATTCCAAATTTCAGGATTCTCCCCCTCCCCCTCATTTTTTTTTGCAAAAGGTATTATAGCTATTGTGAGAACATGAAAAAATGGCAGTTGTTTCTCTTTACAGGGACACTTTTTCTAATCAGTTTTAATAGGTTCACAACAAGATCCATTGCTATCTTACCCTGAATATTTAATCATACCAATTAATACTTAATCATACTGATTAAGAGCTATATCTCATCTAATTGCTCCTATTTTTTTTAAAAAAAACACCTTTTTCAATTGATCTCCCATATCATGCTCAAGTATGCTGTGCTATGCATTAAATCATTTTCCTCACTGAGATAAACAGGCTATATAGGATTACCTCAGTGAAATATTTTGCATCACCTCGAAACTTTGTACAGTAGTTCCAATACTCAGGTCTCTTTGGTTATTCTTCCTGAAAAGGAAGCCTTAGAAGCAAAAGGCTATGCTGCTTTGCAAAAGAGCTTCAAAAGGATATTTTGCTCAATCTTTTGTCAAAGTGACATATTCCTTTGAAGATCTGAAAATCTCTTTTTAAAAAAGTTGTTTCTTTCAGACAATGCCTTATGGTTTTCACGTACTTGCTAGCTCACACAATTCATCATACTTTACTAAACCTTTGATGATACCTGCAATGCTTTCATAGAGGCCTAGTTGCGTCTCTTCCTTGTTATCCTCATCTTCCCGGGGCCCTTCACAAAGAGCTCTGCAATTCTCCAGTGCCAGCAGCCCCTCTCTGAGCGATTCTTCCAGTTTTGCTGCTGCCTGCTGGTAGTCATCCATACCATAATGATACATCCCAGCTTCATAAGCTACCTGCAGAGTCAAGAGAACCAAACCACCTTTGTTAAAGTCTAAGGATTGTGCAGGTGCTGATCCAAAGAATAGTACAATTATGTACTCAAAAGTACAAGTAGTCCTCAACTTACAACCAATCCTTTAGCGACCGTTCAAAGTTACCACAGCATTGAAAAAATGACTTACGACTGATCCTTGCACTTATGGCCTTTGCAACATTCCCACACTCACAACAAGTGACCACACTGTGATGTTTTGTCTACTGCTGTGATGGTTCATCAGAGTGTATTATCTCCAAAAATGTTCACGTCATTTTTTAAAAATTATTTTTGGATTTGCCTTATAAGCATTTATAGCATTTGTATAATTTAAATCCTGCTCTACAACAATAATTTAAAAATACATTTTAAAAATTTTTTAAAAGAGAAAAATTGGATAAAAAGAAAAACATCACTTCTAGATATCAATAACCACTCAACCTAAAGAAGCAGTTTGTGTTTTTAAAAACAGTTGTTAGATTTCTGCTAAATAATTGTTCCATTTGGGGCTATTGCATAATAATAATAATAATCGAAGTGACATTGACAGGTTGAACCTGCCAAGAAAAATATGGGGCAGGGGACTATTACAAATCCATCAAACTGCAGAAGAAGAAAAACAAAGTTTGAATGATTATGTGAACCAAAGTACAGAAAAATTGCTGCAGGCTGTGAAAACGGAGAACAGCATGAAAACAACAGAAACAAAGGCAGAATATAAGGAAAAACAGCTGGATGACAGATTAAATAGATGGAAAACCAA